TAGGTTTCTTCACATAATCCCACATCTCTTGTAGGCTTTGCTCTTTTCTCTTGTTTCTCTGCTCTATTTCTGTAACTGATTTATTTAATTGGAGGGTGTTATCTTCAAGCTCTGAGATTCTTTCTTCTGTTTGATCTGTTCTTGAGACTTTCTACTGTATTTTGTAGTTCCCCGAATTGATTCTTCATTTCCAGGAGTTTGGTTAAACTTTTCTTCATTGTGTCTATTTCTTTAGTGAACTTTTTTTCCAGATCCTGGAGGCTTTTTGTGGTTTCTTTGTGTTGGTTATTGAGTTGTTCTTGTAGGTCGGTGAGTGTTCTTATGATCCACATATGAAATTCCTCCTCTGTCATTTTGGTTGCCTAATTTTGGTTGGTGCCCGTTTCTAGGGAGCTGGTGCTCCTCTTTGGGGGTGTGTTTTCCGTTTGGTTCTTCATATTTCCTGAGTTCCTTCGCTGATTTCTTCCCATGTCGGTCAGTTGTTTCTTTTCTTTAGGTTTTTGTTTGGGTATTCACACGCCTTGTTTAGTTTCTGAGTCGGTAGGTGGTGTCTGTGAGTGAGATTCGACCACTCCCTGTATAATGAGTCAGTAGGTGCCGTGAAAAGGCTGTGCAGGATGTCTTCCCTGTCAGTAGGTGGCGCTTGCTTGGAGAAACAGGCTATGCTGTTGTTTTTGTGTCCTGTTATCAGCTCTTGTTCCTGTAGAGAGAACTCTAGTGCCTCAGGTGGTCGGTGGGGCCCTGGGACTTCTAGGTGTGTCCTCTTCTCCCTCTCAGTGAGGGCTGGTCTAGGAGAGAGTCTGGGCGGAGCTGGGTTGGGTAACCCTGCCCTCAGGCACCACCAGTGGGGTTTGCAGGGGTCAAAGTTCTGTTCTCTGCTTCCAGGCAAAGCTGTCAGGGCAGGGCTGGAATGGCCCGGCTCAGCCAGAAAGTCTGGGTGTGGGGGTGGGACTGTCTGAGACCCGCAGTCTGGAGGGGCCTCACTCCTTTCCACCCTCCCCAACTCCGCAGCTACTCCTGGGCCTCTGCCAGCAGGCCAGACCTCAAGCCACCAGGCCTCCCCTGGCTGTGATGCTGGTGGGGAGGTTCCCTGCGCAGGAACGCCACCTGGGCTGGGCGCACGGCCTCCCTTTGGGCGGAGGGTTGCCCCTAGGATGCTGATCTGCCCCTGAAGACACGCACACCTCAGTAGGCTCTTCACAGATATCCCTTCTGTGCCCCGGGCAATGCGAGACCTGGGTGCACGGGATCTGGTCTGCAGGTCCGACCTCTGGGTCCCAGAATTCAAACTGTATCCCCATCAGGGAGAGGAGTGCCTGTCCCAATTCACCCATAGGGAGCCCACGCTGGGTCGATGTCTCTCAGCCTCAGGGTCTGCCCCGTTCTCCTGGGATCACTGTGCCAGCAGCACCTGGGAGGGCTGGTGGGTGGGAAGCTCACCGTCTGAGTTCCCCTTAGTCAGCTGTAGGGCCCCAACAGGGAAGGTCCCGTTCCCTGGAGGTGCCTCCGGCTGGTGGCTCTATTGTCTCTCTCTCTGGGCAGCCACGGGTAGGGACGGGGGAGGGGAGGAGGCGGCAATATGGCGTCTGCCGTGCGGCTCGGGTCTGTGCACATGGAGGTGCTCCGAGGGAGTTGGGAGCCTGGTGCCAGGTCCACTACTGGCTCACCGCTCACTGGCAGCGCCCGTCGCTTGGCTGGTGTCCACAGGTCTCTCCACTCGCTGGGGAGCCCACCAGCAGTCCGGGATGCAAGGGAGGGGAAACGGCTGATCCACCTACACTTCCTGCTGGTCTCCGGGCTGCTCCGGGGTCCCAGCTTTCAGTTTTCTCCGTGACCTCCTCCCGTGGAGTCTCCCGTGGTCTCAGGTACTCCTCCTTCCGACCCTCATCCGATGTATGCTCGTCTTCTTGCTTCTTCTAATTTCTGCTAGAATCTGTCTTTTCTGCAGAGACACTCTGTCCGGCGGTGTTTCTCATCAGCCATCTTCTTCTCTAGTATATGAATTTAATGTTTTCAAATTGTTGCAAATCTCCAAAATATTTTCCAATATTGAAAAAAATTCGTGTATAAATGGGCCCACACAGTTCACACTTGTGTTGTTCAAGGTTAATTGTATTTGTGTATCTAAACATATCTAAATTTAGAAAAGGTACAGTAAAAATATATTATTATCTTAATGGGAACATAGTTATATATTGTAAGGTTTTTCGGCGGCGGCGAAAAGAAAAGACAGACACAGAGAGAGAAAGAGTGGGGGCCAAACCATGTGGCTTTATTATACACCCGTGGACGAGGTTCTGGGGCCCCAAGAGAGGGGGGCCCCAGCAGTCGCCGCCGTTTGAAGGGGCTGAGGCCTTTTATACCCTTTGGGCCTGGCTAGGGACTTTTGGCGGGAAGAGCTGGGGATTTTAGGAGGGGCTGGAGGTATTTGTGGAATCCAGGAGACAAAACATTCTTATCCAGGTGGACATCTGGGTGTGGATCCTCTCAGCGGGGCCTGGCAGTTTTGTCTTTGGCGGGTGTGGTCTCATGAGCCTTTTCTTTTTGACCTAGGGAAGGGAGGGGGCCCCGCCACCAGCCTTACATATATGTGGTCCAACAATGAGACGTCATTAGGCAGGGTATGACCAGAGAGTGTTTCTCGGAGTTTGGTGAGCTGCTCTAGCATAATTAACCAAACCCAAGGAACAGGGGTCATGGGAACCCTGATTTATAGCCAGTTGATCAGAAGTATAGGTAAAACAACATGGGGCTTGTGATTGGCATCAGAAGTGTGAGAGGTGGGGGCAGACTTGTGGGCCTGAACTCTCAATCTATAGGCTCTGATGCTGCCTCCAGGTGTCAGAATTGAATTGGAGGACGCCCAGCTGGTGTCTGCTGCAGAATCGCTTGCTTGCTTGCTTCATGTGTGGGGTAAAACGTCCACAGATCTGGTATGAGAAGGGTGTTGTGAGAGTACAGTAGGAGACAGTTTGTTTCTTTCTATATTTAAAATGGGGTTCTAGCCAGGCGAGGTGGCTCACGCCTATAATTCTGGCACTGTGGGAGGCCGAGGCAGGTGGATTGTTCGAAGTTAGGAGTTCGAAACTAGCCTGTGCAAGACCCTGTCTCTACTAAAAATAGAAAGAAATTAATTGACCAACTAAAAATATATATACAAAAAATTAGCTGGGCATGGTGGTGCATGTCTGTAGTTCCAGGTACTTGGGAGGCTGAGGCAGGAGGATCTCATGAGCCCAGGAGATTGAGGTTGCTGTGAGCTAGGCAGACACCCCAGCACTCACTGTAGCCTGGGCAACAAAGTGAGACTCTTGTAAAAAAAAAAAAAAAAAAAAATAGAATGGGGTTCTAGAGAACATCTCAGTGGTGAGAATAGATGTTCCAAAGCCAGATTGCCTGGGTTCAAATCTCTGCTCCACCATTTTGAGTGTCATTTTACTTCTCTGCTTCAGTTTCCTGTCTATTAAATAGGGAAAATATAATAGTACCACCTCTAGGGTTACTGTGAGAATTAAATTAGTACATGTAAATTCCTTAGAACAGTGTTTGGAGCATTAATAAACACTCAATAGCTGGCAAAAAATATAAAAGGTTAAGGGACAACTTAATACATATTCAAATACTATAAAAAGATCTTTATAGAGATCTTTTCCATCTTTGTTGTAGACAAAATAAGAGGAAGTCAATTTAAACTCTGAGAAATTGAGAATAGATAAAAATTTTGTCCATTCAGAAATATAAATAACTACTATGGGTGAATATCCTTTGTAGAGAGCTATGTAGAATGGAGCAGATTCTGTTACTGAGTTTAGTCCAAGAACAGTATTCTCTCAAAGTGGGAAAACAAGCCCTAAAAATCAAGTTTGAATCGGGTACATAGTCACCTACCACCTCACTTGTCCAAGAAACAGAATGAAACCAAAGAAAGCTCCATGTTCTATTGAGGGACTTAAAACAAATTAATAATAATAGCTGATGTATATTAAAATAGTGCCTGATGTCTTGATAACTGTCTCCCTCTTTTTCAGCAGAGAGGAAACAGAAATAATGGGAAGAAATCACATTCATAGTAGACCTATGACCAAGACCCAGATTTTAAAACTTAAAATGTTTCCAAATACCATATTGATTTCAGCATTTGAGATGAAAAATGTTTCCATTACTTTTAATGTCTTTTTCAAAAAGCCAAAATGAATTAATCATATAACATCGCGTTATATATAGAAAGGTCTTTATATATTTGAAGAAGTATTTAGTCATTCCTGAACCATATCTGCCCAGTCCCTGGCCGGATCTCAGGAAACTACCCTATCCCATCCCTACCCCATGGTCCCTCTTACGGGGTAAACTAGACAACTATGTCTAATCATATATCCTTAGGGATCCTCCAAACACTGGATTGAGCCACCAAATTCACCTTCTTGGCACTGAAGTCACAGACGGGAAGTTACTAATGGGTAGAAGCAGAGAGAATGGCTGCTGATGCCTCCATCCAAAACCAGTCTTCACAGTTCCCATACTCTCTTGTCTTGGGAGTCTGAGATGTAAATTCTTCTCATCCACACCTCAGCCCTCCTTTTCTCATTTCTTGGTTGGACATGGTATTTATTTAATCGATTCCTGACTAAATACATGTGACTATCTCTACTTCAAACTGCAAAATGTCAACTTATAAAGTCAACAAATCTTGTCACTTACACTTCTCAGATATTTTTCTTATCCATCTTCTCTCCACACTCATAGCCATCTCTTATCTGGATTATAATACCTTCTTAGGCAATATAAAAAGAGGTAAGGAAACTTGCTAGCTGTTTTAAGAAAATGCAAATGCCAAATATCACTGAAAAGATCTCAAGCTTTCGCCATCTTTTCCCTTGATATTCACTTTCCCCTTGGGGACCTCTCACTAATGATCACTGTCTCTACCAGAGAAGTGCCAGTTTCTGGCACTTAGATTGGTCCTCTTTTTTCTTTATTCATAGCACTGCTGAATCCAGGTGAAATAGTTATATAAAGCTTTTAGAAATGGCTCAGGCATAACAGAAAAAAAAAGCAAATAAAACACTGAGCAAAATGCAACCTACCTAATTAGGTAGGGCTTGCTCTTCTTATTCAACAAATATTTGAACACTCTTTGTGATTACCATTGTGCATACACTGACAACATGTATGCTTCTCAAGGGGCATGTAGTAAGGGAAGCGTGCTAATGCTGTAATGAGTAATATGGGATAAACGAGACCATACAAGGAGGCACGTAGCCACAGTGTGCATCACTGTAGCACTTCAAAATGCTTAGGCAAGGCTGTGCTCTCTCCCTTTATCTGGCAGATTCACTAGTCATTTGAGCCCTCTGGAATGACTATTCCCTCCTCCAACTGGTTTGGGTGTGGACATTACTCAGCTTTGAACACAGCTGGCTTCGGCTAGCCGTTTATAGAGGTTTCCCTTCGTCAGGGGCATTATTGGTTGTCTTGTGATGCTCATGACGAATTTTTCCAGCCTCTAAGTCATTCTCATACTGCTGGGTTTTGTGTTAATAAAACACCTCTCCTCCCTGCTACTTGGGAATCTGAGGTAGGGGGATCACTGGAGCCCAGGTCTTTGAGACTACAGTGAGCTGATTGTGCTACTACTGCACTCTAGCTTGGGTGACAGAGTGAGACCCTGTCTCTAAATAAGTAAATCAAAATACAGATTCCCTTGAGCATGCATTCCCAGTAGAAGTGAAAATTGGTTTGTTGGGGGCAAAAAACGTATTTTGTATGAAACACAAAAATATATGCAGTTCATAAACATATTGTATGTGTAGTATTAAAATTTCATGGGGAGGGGATGTCTAGAAAAAAATATCTAAAAAGGCTCTTTAGGGAAGTGATAAAGAAAAGTTTAGCAAAATCTGTGTGGAGATTCTTTTGCCACATGAGCAATAGCTAAATTAACTACATTTTAATAATTCAAAATCTTTGGATAAAACAAAATCATGGCTGCTCCATTTCTAACCAATGTACTTGTGAATGGCTCTAATTCTTTGGCCTTGTTTCTCATAGTCAAAGTCACTATAATTGTTCAAGTGTAAAGAAAACACTTGGATTAATTTTAAAAAAAGGTTTATAAATCATTAGGTTTATAACACAGAGTACAAACCAAGTAAGTAAATTTATTTAGACTACTAAAATAGTTTTTAAAGTCATTTACAGATCAGCTGCTACAATTATTTTTCCTGAAAGATATAAGTAACATATTACTTTTAAATTACTTCAGTCAGTGAAATATTTAATAAAAATATTTGTTTCTCCATATAACATGTATATATAAAAGAAACCTTTTAAAAACTGCTGTTTTATAATCCTCTATAAATCAGATGATCTGACTTTTCAGAGTCAGGAACAAATTACAATAAGGGGTATAAATTTATGAGTCCTAGTGGAAAGAATCATACCCCTCTCTATTATCAGTTGTGGGACCCTCAAAGGGTAAATGATGAAGCCAGTGACTGATTCTAAAAACAATATTTTCATATTTTCACTTAAAGGTTTATAGAAAAAAAAAAGTTGATCTAGAATCATAAGATTCTAAGAAAACCAAAGCAGTTGACAGATGAGCAAGCTCAGTTACAGATACCAAGTTACAGCTAAAATACTATGGTAGTACAGAAATACATTTAACATTCTTCATATGTGATAAAGTTCACTGTCGTGGTTTGAGGCACTCAGTAAAATTTATCACATGCATAGTACATTTTTATATGGTGTGTTCTAAAGGCTGCAACAAGTGGATGTGCAGAAAATTAAATGTTTCTTCAAAAGCCCAGGATAGCTGGTTAAACAATGGTTTACCAATTCCTGAAACTATGTTTCTTAATTTAAAACAGAAGCTTCTGGGTATGCCCAAAATAAACTCTGAATTTACCTACCCTTAAGAGTCAAGTAAACAAATATATTAAACCTTGTCATACACATGCTTTAAAAATCCTTAGGAGGACCAAGAATTTCTTCAAGAAAAAAAAAAAAAGAAATGTAAAAAACATATCCCAAATACCCATGTTTGACTAACATATCTCAGTGCCTTATTGTAACATTTCATCTTAAAGACTTTTTTCCTCCCCTTACCTTCCCTATTACACAATTTCTCTCTTTTCCCTTGCCTCCTTCTCTCCATTCTCCAAAAACAAAAGAAAAACATCCAAACACACAACCAGATGACCTTTCATTACTTTTGTTCCTATAAACAGAAGCTGACTAAGGAACTCACAACTAAATGGTGTAAAAGGGAACATAATGGGAAAATACGCAGTTACATCTAGGGAATCTATCTTACTAATAACTCAACAAACTTTGTGAAAAATCCAAATTAAAAAATCGGGAAAATTCACAAGAAAGAAGCTGAATCCCTCTCACTGGTTACAACATAGCAATAATAATTCAGCCCAGGATCAAAATAGATTCTCTATGGAACCGCATATAATTTATATCCTTAAGATACCCTTAACACAACTCTGAATGGAAACAGAAATGATTCTCTCATATAATAGATAATTAGGTTGAATAAATGACCTAGATGTTCCACGTTTACATAAAGAACTTAACTTCCTTTAAAAAGAAACCAGTTCTTTCAAAAAGAGCTCTGAATCCTGTCTCTGGTTAGGAAGTCTGAAAAATTCTTCAACTTGAGACATGATTTTCTCTTTTCTCACACCTTATAAGCAGATACCCCTTCTCAGGGCATTTTCAGGTTGCACAGGTAGGACTAAGTGAGAAATACGGCTCCAGAGCCCATTCAATTTGTCTGGGTCCATAAGATTGTAGGAGTTGGGTGTGTTAGAGCTGGTGAACTTGACTTTAAGGAAATCTCTCACTTTTTCTTCAATTTCCTTTAGGCCTAGACTGGTCCCAAGTGTCTCCTCCTCCAATAAGACAGTCAGTACTAACGCTACATCTTTGAAGGCTGCGTTTTCATGGTCACAATATTTATAGAAGATCAGAGTAGAGCCTGCAGGCAGGGACTCAAAGCGGTGTACCACGGCTGCATTCTGGCCATTTTTGAATCCATTGCTCAGTTCCTGATCTACCTCGAGTTTGACAGTATCACTGTCCTGAGCAGCTTTGCTTGCCCCATCAATCCGGATGGCACGAACACTACGGAAGGAAGAATAGGCATCAGCAATTTGTTCACTCAGACATTTAAGTGCCTCTTCAGCATCTCGGGCAGCAGTGAGGAGCAAGATAGCAGGCTGAGGCCGAGGGTGGGAGCTATTAAGATGTTTTTCCAGGAACGTTAGGCTCCTTTTCCATAGCTTCTCATCTTGGCCCTGGTACTTATTCCTAAGTTGTTTCATCTGGTTCTGGAACTCTTGAACAGCAGCAGTGGTTTCTACTTCAGGAGTACAAAAGAACCAAAAACTCCCAAAGGCAAGAGGAGCTATTAGGAAAAGTGGCCACCACCACTTGATCTTGACAAAAGATACATTTTTGGGTTGTGTAGTCAATTCTGCTCAGAAAAAAAGAAATGAGATATAAATACCATTTTCTTAGATTCAAGAATGAATGACTTTAAAAATCAGTATTAATCTTTATAAACATTAATTAAAAGAGGAAGGTCTTTAAAGAAGGGAACTGATAATTTTTCTTTCTTAAAGAATTAAAATAATTTATCATGTTCCCAAGAAAATCTCAATACCCATAGGCTTTGAGTTATGTGTATAAATATGCATATATCTCTCCAATATAAACATAAGTCTTCAAGGAAAAAGCACTTAAACATATGAAATGGCATAAACTGGTCAGAAATAATAGTTTATAAAGCAAAACTATTAATAAGACTGCTAATAGTTGTGAGAAAAACAGAATTAAAAGACACTTTATAAAATATCCAAGGTGGAGTATTTCCTTTTTCTTTTTCTTTTTTTAAAAACAGGGTCTTGCTCTATTGTCCAGCTGGAGTGCAGTGCTGCCATCACAGCTCACCATAATCTTGAACTACTGGGCTCAGGAGATCCTCCTGCTTCAGCCTTCTGAGTAGCAGATATGCATCACCATGCCTGGCTAATTTTTCTTATTTTTGTAAAGATGGGGTATTGCTACGTTGCCAAAGATGGTCTCGAATTCCTGACCTCACAAAGTGCTGAGATTACAGGCATGAGCCACCATGCCTGGCCAAGGTGAAATATTTCTTAAGTATATAAAGGGATAAAGGAAAGGATGCAATATAAGTGAATGTCTTCCAGATACTGTAATAGCTAGTTGTCCCTTTAACTGCACTGATGCCTATCTTTTTTTGGTATGGAAGGTAACACTGGTAAAATTTAGTTTGTATCCCTAATTATTATTGGCAATAGTAACATAAATTTACATTTATTTAGTGCTTTTCAGTTTATAAAGCACTCTCTCATATTCTACTTCATTTAATCAGTTAATATGATAACAACAATATACTGTTATGCCTTTTATTTATTTATTGACTGCTTTAGGCTAATAACTGTACTAGGGACCTTTTTAGAGCAGCAGTTCTTAAAATGTGGTCTGTGAGGGGTACCTTAAGACCCTATTTTAGGTAGGTCCATGAGGTTAAAGCTATTCTCATAATATTCAGATGTTATTTGACTTTTCCATTGTGTTGACATTTGCCCTGATGGTGCAAAAGCAATGGTGGGAAAAACTAATGATGACTCAGCATGACTCAGAGGGCAGTGGCACCCCACAGGACCAGTGTAGTCATGGTAATTTTCATGGCCACACATGCAAGGCTAAAAAAAGGGGTCCAGTTTCACTTAAGAATGTCGTTCATGAAGCAGTTAAAGTTACTTATGTTATTAAATCTCAATATTTGAGTATACATCTTCTCAATTCTGTGTGATTCTTCTCTATTCTGTGTGAAGCAATGGGAAGTCTATATAAAGCACTTCTACTGCATAGCACAGAACAATAGCTGTCTCAAGGAAAAGAATTTTGTGCACCTAGTTATAAGCTGATTAGTACTTTTTTAATAGAATATCATTTTTTAAGTGAAAGAACAAGTAACAAACTATGGTTAGACTTGTGTATCGGGCAGACATTTTCTTGAGAATGAACAAAGTGAGCCTGTTCTAGGAACACAACTAACAGTATTCATCAATTACAAAATTTAAGCTTTCAAGTGAAAATTAGGATTTTAGTAAAATTCTATCTGCCACCACAAGCTTGACAGCTCCCAATACTGTACTTAAAGACATTTTAAAAGTCTTAAGGCCGGGCATGGTGGCTGATGCTGTAATTCTAGCACTCTGGGAGGCCAAGGTGGGAGGATCACTTCAGCTCGGGGGTTCCGAGACCAGTCTGAGCAAAAGTGAGACCCCTTCTCTACTAAAAATAGAAAAATTAGCCGGGCACAGTGGCATGAGCCTGTAGTCCCAGCTACTCGGGAGGCTGAGGCAGGAGGACCACTTGAGCCCAGGAGTTTGAGGTTGCAGAGAGCTATGATGATGACGGCATTGTACCTTAGCCCAGGCCGATGGAGCAAAGCTCTGTCTCAAAAAAAGTCTTGAGATTGGTACTGATATTAACAAATGTGATCTTTCCTATTACAAATGTGTCAATATTTGGAAGATCTGCATATCTTAGTGAACCAATATTTTCAAAATGACCAGTCCATGATACTCCACTCAAAGTATAACAAAGACCAATTGATTTTAGTAGGGTACAAAAAGTTCATTAATATGGTTTCTATTTCGTATTTCAAATAACATTTAAGAAACTACCATTTGTTGAGTTTTGGAGAATACCAAAAAAGAATATCTGACCTCACATAATTATCTGAAAAGGCTATTAAAATTCTTCATATCTTCATGAAACTGGATTTTCTACAGATACTTCAACCAAAGCAAACAATATAGGCCAGGTGCTGTGGTTCACACCTATAAATCTAGCACTCTAGGAGGCTGAGGCAGAATGATTGCTTAAGGCTAGGAGTATGAGACCAGTCTGAGCAACCCAGCGAAAAATTAGCTGGGCATGGTGGCACACACCTATAGTCTCAACAACTTGGGAGGCTGAGGCAGGAGGATCACGTGAGCCCAAGTGTTTGAAGTTGCAGTGAGCTATGATGACGCCACTGTCCTCTACCCCTGGCAACAGAGTAATAAACTGAGACCCTGTCTCAAACAAACAAAGAATTAATATATTGTAATGACTGAATGCAGAAGCAGATGTGAAAATCCAATTCTGTTTTATTAAGCCAGGCATTACAAATATTAGAAAAAATGCAAAACTGTCACTCTTCTTACTAATTACTTAAAAATAAATATTTTAAAAATTTCTCAACTTTAATTTCTAGGTAAGTATGAATAAGTATTAAACCTTCCCCCTTTTTTAAGAGACAGGGTCTCACTCTGTCACCCAGGCTGGAGTGTGATCAGAACTGGCTACAGCCTCAAACTCTTGGGCTCAAGCAATCCTCCTGTCTCAACCTCCTGAGTAACTGAGACTACAGGTGCATGCCACCATGCCTAGTTAATTTTTAAAATTTTCTGTAGAGATGGGGTCTTGCCATGTTACCCAGGATGGTCTCAAATTCCTGGGCTCAAATGACCTACCTGCCTTGGCCTCCCAAAGTGCTAGGATTATCAGCATCAGCCACTGTGCCCGGCCCCACCTTTTTTTTCTAAAATGTTCTTTGAGGTTCTTAATAACTTTATTAGTATAAAGGGTTACTGAGACCAAAACGTTTGAGATTCACTGACAGTTTATTTTCTTAGCACTGATTCAGGACAATAAACAGGCATAGTGAATTTAAGAAACTTGCTCCAAGGCTATACAGGAGCTAAGTGGTCCAATCTAGTTCAAAACAGGTCTGTGAACTCTAAAACCCATAATAATCCCATTATGCCATTCTATGTGCTATCTTTCTTCTAATTCAGCATGGTTCACTCAGTAAACAGTATCAGTAGCTTTACTTATTAACTTTTATTTTGGTCTATGGACAATAAAGTAAAGGAGAAAACCAGATGTTGTCTGATATAGTTTGTCCATAGAGAATTTCACTGCTAGTAAAATATATACTATTTCCTATGAAATGCTTAAACTATGATTCTTCAAATAGCGTCAGTCATACTGCTGTCAAAAGACATTTTTAAACAATATGGACCACCAATTTTAGAGACCCATTTAACAAAAACCAAATAGACAAACTTACGTTGGCTGTGGGTTGATGGAGATTGGTTTCCAAGCTCTGATTTCTGAATGCTGTCATCTAATGATAGGAGTAATAAAAGAAGACTGTCATCTTATATTTTATAATTTGAATTTTTATTTCTAATAGAGAAAGATATAAATTCCATCAAGAAAAAACGAAGGCAGAGATCAGACAGAAGCAGAGAAGAAAAAGTAGACTATTCGCGTGCCCATCAGACTGAAAGCTCCCTGAGACACAAGACCTATGTCTTTCATAGTTATCACAGCAGGTAGTGGTCCAGTACAAAGCAAGCACTTAATATGTATTTATCCAAGAAAGCCCTGAAGTATCTGACCCATAATTATGTAATACGATTGGTGAAAATTCGGTAATAAAGTTAAGAGGACAAAGAAAATAGCACACCAATACAAAAGGAAATATATTATACCATCTGAAAAACTGCCATATATTGAACTCTTGCCTGGTGAAGGTGCTGTAAAGAGGGGGGGAAAGGACAAAATGTGGATTATGGATTACTGAGCTATCAGGATTAAGGTGTTTTAATATAAAATTCAATCTTAATCCTATTTTCTACCTCAAACTGATTCAAATATTTCTTCTGGGGCTTCTGACCATTTCAAATATTAGTAATATTTTAAAAAATCACATTAAAAAACTTTTCACCATTTCTGTTAATAAGTAATACTGTTTTAGATTTGTGATTAAATGGAGCTCAAAAATAATTTTATCACAACTCCATCAAATCTCTACTTCCATCATTATTTTAGAAAATAAACAAAAAGAGTATCCTAATGCTTCCCTTTTCCCATCTATCATTTTTAGCATGCCTGCAGATTTTAACGTCTAAGAGAGGGAATGGAGGGACAAGGTTCAGAAGGTGGAGCGGCTGAGGTATCTCAATCATATGCCCTATATTTACCAGTACTGCCACCTTTTACTTGCCTGGAGTTTTATAACTTTTATATTAATATATAGAAATGATCTTCCTGGTGGATCCTACTGGTATTTGTCAACAGCTTTCATTTGAGAAACATTGGACTAAACTAGAGGAATAAAATTAGCACTGCTAAGATACAGAAATAGCCTTTTTGGTCATATGACAAAAAACCCCAAATAAGGCAAAATGACATCAACTGTAACTCTAAGAAGCATATTGTTTTTCAATTACTAGTTTAGCTTAGAAAATTTAGTTATTTAAAAGTTTCTAAGTTAGGTCATCAAAATTATAACTAACAAAACAAAACAAAACAACTCAACCAAATAAAAACCCCCCAAACCCATCAGATAATGTTTATCCTAAATATCTCCCTCTATGGTTGCAAAGATCAAATGAGATAATATATATGAAAATGCTGTGAAGTGAATTCTATGATGTTAATGATGAAGAATAGCTAAATAATAATTATCTATAATATGTAATATTTATATAATTCATAGACAACAATCACACACTTAGCAGGATATATACAGCTGCAGCAGGACATTGTCTAAAAGGTAATTTCTATTCCTCTTATTAAAATTATTAAAGATGGTAACAAAAACTCTGAAAAAAAATCTTTTTAAGCCGGGCGCGGTGGCTCACGCCTGTAATCCTAGCTCTTGGGAGGCTGAGGCGGGCGGATTGCTCAAGGTCAGGAGTTCAAAACCAGCCTGGAGCAAAGACGAGACCCGTCTTACATAAAGTGAAAGAAATTAATTGGCCAACGATATATATATAAAAAATTAGCCGGGCATGGTGGCGCATGCTTGTAGTCCCAGCTACTTGGGGGCTGAGGCAGAAGGATCACTCGAGCCCAGGAGTTTTGAGTTGCTGTGAGCTAGGCTGATGCCACGGCACTCACTCTAGCCTGGGCAACAAAGCGAGACTCTGTCTCAAAAAAAAAAAAAAAAAAAAAAAAATCTTTTTAAAAGATAAAACTCAAGCCTTTTCAGTTCAAAGAGTATGGTAACAATCACTCTATAAAAGTCAGGAGTAGAGGGTATGAATCCCATTAGACAGTATATTAATGATAAATAAGCATTAATAATTATATGATACTTAGATTTGTTTTGTTTTTTATTTTTTATTTTATTTTATTTTCTTCTTCTTATGTGATCTAAAACATTTGTATGTTTTTTATTTTTGAGGCAGAGTCTCACTTTGTTGCCCAGGCTAGAGTGAGTGCCATGGCGTCAGCCTAGCTCACAGCAACCTCAAACTCCTGGGCTCAAGCAATCCTGGTGCCTCAGCCTCCCGAGTAGCTGGGACTACAGGCATGCGCCACCATGCCTGGCTGATATATATATATTAGTTGGCCAATTAATTTCTTTCTATTTATAGTAGAGACAGGGTCTCGCTCTTGCTCAGGCTGGTTTCGAACTCCTGATCTCAAGTGATCCGCCTGCCTCAGCCTCCCAGAGTGCTAGGATTACAGGCATGAGCCACCACGCCCGGCCTGATACTTAGATTTTTAAAAATTACATTTCCACATATAAACTCATTACAATTACATAGCTATAGGCACTAAGATCTCTAAAGGCAAGAAAACTGAGGTTCACAAAGTTTAAATGACTTTGCCAAGATTACTCAATTTGTAACTACCAAAGACAGGACTGGAACCCAAGAGCTCTAACTTCAAACTGTCTTCTTTTCTTTATACCAACTTCTGAGACAGATTCCAAAGCATGTATATTAATGGTCTGATCTCTCCATACATATATATTTTTCCCTATTCTCACTGTTTTATCACCTGGCAAATGGGAAAAAGTAAAGAGAGTGGTTCTATCTTTCCCAAAAGCTTAGGATGCAGTCACAGAAACCTGAACTAGAACCTGTCTGCCTAGGGAACTGGTGCTAACATGGGATGACAGTAAGAATCTAAAGCCCCAAGTTCTTGAACACCCAAATCTAAAAATCATTTTTTTCTTACCAAAGTAGACAGAAATATCACTTAAGAGAATGAGATAATTAAATTTAGAATGCTAAGAAAATAATTAAAATATGATCTTTGATTGAAAAGGAATGTATGATAAGGCCATTTAAAAAATCACTGGAGTCTTCTTCCACTTCATTGAAAATATTTTCTTCCTATTCATTGTTCTGTCTTAAAGTCCTCATGTGGTTAAAGGTCTAAAAAATTCTGTTACATGCACATTTCTGGTATGTTACTTCTACATAATACTCAAAAGTTCAACATAGTACCGACATATGGTAGGTGGCTGTCAACCAATGTACCACTATTTAAGCCTTAGTAAATATATTAAAGACGAAGTAAAAATGCAAACAGACAAAATACTAAAAATTAGCTATCAATCTATCAACTAAAAAAATCTATTTCTGCATTTCAATCAGATGTTCAATATAATTATTTTTCCTTCTGCATTGCAATGTCTTATAAGAGGAAATAACAATTATAGAAATATTTTCTGATAACAATATGTACTAACTTCACTTATCTGGAAGTCATTTATCTGATACTAATTAATTACCCAGAATATATAGTTAAGAACTAAGAAATGATATCAGAAGCCTCTGAGCTTTTCCCAATATATACTAAAATTCATGTGTTTTTACTTCAAACAGTATCTCTTAGGTCTTCAAATTTAATTTTAATGTTTGATTCTGGTTATAAATATAATTCTAATAAGCTAAATAATTGATATTTGGTTTCCTAACAATAATAGGTCAGGAAGAGCAAATTATAAGAGGAAATGGTCTTCTAATAAGCATACACTCATAGGAATAAGAAATGATACCCAACAAAGCAAGGGCAAAAGCTATTGCAGTTTAGACAGCTAAAGAACTCACTTATATGTGGGGTAGAACTTTACTGCTAAGGAAGAATGACCATTGTGACCATTACACTTTACTCATGGAATGCCACAGAAGTTAACTTGTTCAATTACAGAATTAATCATTCCATGAACAAGGGATCGATGATGGAGATTTGTATATTATCTAAATAAAAGTCAAGGGATACCTGATGACCTTGAGACCTATTGCAATTAGATAAGTAAAGAAGGGATAACGGTTAAAGGTCACTTAAGGTAGAAAATATGAAAGGTTTTTTTTAAATACAGTCAAGGTGTAATGTGGACACATTTCTACAGAAAGTATGATAGGCACTGAGTTCAAAGTATGATCATTTCATCACGTTAATTTATGGCATTTCTTAAGTTCTGTGACATTTAATCCATTCTAAACCTAAATATGAAAATGTAATTTGTGGATTTCAGCCTTTATTACATAAACTAATAGGCATATAAAGCTGCTCCAAGTGGTGATTTATGTAAAGACTGCTAAAAACAAAACACATGTATTGTCAAAAGGGCAGAATGTCATTATCATATACAGATTGTACTGCTGCTGGAATTGACAGCGTGTCAAGCCTAAGCCCATCATTCACAAGCTTTCTCATACCACTATTTACATTCTACACCCAGTTCATCTTCTGCCAGTCCAAGCAAATGGAAATCACTAAACTAGTCACTATAGTTGTCCTTTTTAGTGACAACCTAAATGTCACTAAAACAACCTAAATGCTTATCTGAAGAACTAAATATTTTTATCAAGAAAAACATAGCAAATAAAATTATCTCAATAACAGAGATTTATCTACTTACTTTGCATCCTACCCCTTATTCTTGCAGTTTGTTTGGCCCATACTTGAGAGGGTTTTTGATGTCCTGAGGCTGAAGCAAACACATATATCAAAATATTATTCCCCATACTTTGAAAGTTTACACCATATTCCAGTGTTATACAATGAATCTATCAGAAAGGCAAAGTAGAGGAGGAAAATAATAAAAATAATAGTTATAGAAGTAAAACATAATTTCAAAGGATCATATCAGTAAGGATGAACCACTTCCCTTGGCAAAGCAGGTAGCAAATAAGTATATCATCTAACAGACAAAACTATGTACAATAGTACAATATCTTTTGGTCTGATGTATGAGAATGACTAAGTTCAAAACCACTTCACTAAATTTTAATGTTATTTAAGAAGAAAAGTTAGCCATCTTTCTCTCTATATATGTATATTTATCTGTTTATTTATTTAGAGATGGGGTTTCACTCTGTCACCCAGGCTGGAGTGTAGTGGCATGATTATAGCTCACTGCAGCTCTAAACTCTTGGGCTCAAGCAATCTTCCTGCCTCAGCCTCTCAAATAGCTGGGGCTACAGGCATGTGCCACCACACTCAGCTAACTTTTAAAATGGCTTTACACATGAAATCTCACTATGTTGCCCATGCTGGTCTCCAACTCCTGGCCTTAGCCTCCTGAGTAACTGGGATTATAGACACAAGTTACTGTGCCTGACCTAACTATTTACTCTTGCAAGTAAATTACTTGTGGTAAAATGGCCCTGAATACATTTCCACATCACAGAGTGGTTATCACACGTGGTGCTGATGCATGATGGATTAAAAAGGCAAAGAGTAGGCCGGGCGTGGTGGCTCATCCTGTGATCCTAGCTCTCTGGGAGGCCGAGGCGGGCGGATTGCTCAAGGTCAGGAGTTCAAAACCAGCCTGAGCAAGAGCCAGACCCCATCTCTACTATAAATAGAAAGACATTAATTGGCCAACTGATATATATATATATAAAAAAGTTAGCCGGGCATGGTGGCGCATGCCTGTAGTCCCAGCTACTCGGGAGGCTGAGGCAGAAGGATCGCTCGAGCCCAGGAGTTTGAGGTTGCTGTGAGCTAGGCTAATGCCACGCAATCACTCTACCTGACACAAGCGAGACTCTGTCTCAAAAAAAAAAAAAAAAAAAAAGGCAAAGAGTAAAATGACTTAAAATCCTATCAGAACTTTAAGTTGGGAGAATAAGGTAAGGTTAGATTTGATTGAGCAAATAATGAGAAGACAGCCAACCACTCACTCAGCACTGAAGGTTGCTTATTATGAGCTATGAAGTCTTGACCTGAAACAGAAAATAGGAATAAGGTTATAGACTACTTGAAAATAAAAACAAAAATGATGTATAGACATTTTGCTTGTTTACTGTGGATACTATTAAAAACCCAGAACCAAAAAACACAAACCTCTCATCAGTTCAAAACAATCTCTCTCTCTCCATATATATATATATATATATATTTTTTTTTTTTTTCCTTCATTTAAAAACTTAAAAATGTTCAGGAATTAAGGCCGGGCGCGGTGGCTCACGCCTGTAATCCTAGCTCTTGGAGGCCGAGGCGGGCGATTGCTCAAGGTCAGGAGTTCGAAACCAGCCTACAAGAGCGAGACCGTCTCTACTATAAATAAAGAAATAATTGGCCAACTGATATATATATAAAAAATTAGCCGGGCAGTGGTGGCGCATGCCTGTATCCAGCTACTCGGGAGGCTGAGGCAGGAAGATCGCTCGACCCAGAGTTTGGAGTTGCTGTGAGCTAGGCTGACGCCACGGCACTCACTCTAGCCTGGACAAAAAAGTGAGACTCTGTCTCAAAAAAAAAAAAAAAAAAAAGTTCAGGAATTAGAAAAGGAATCAGCTTTATGATCATTACCAACAAAATAATGGCGAAAAAAGTATTCAATGATTACCAGCTATCAAGTATAATTTACTTAATTCTCATACTTTATGTGGAAAACACTATTATCCTATTTTAAAAATAAGGGAAAATTGAAATTAATAATTTTCCCAAAATTACATATCTAAAAGTAGTGAGGCCCAAGCAAGAATGAGACCCTATCTCTACAAAAAATAGAAAAAATTAGCTGGATGTGGTGCATTAGCCTGTAGTCTCAGCTACTCAGGAGGCTGAGGCAGGAGGATCACTTGAGCCCAGGAGTTTGAGGTTGCAGTGAGCTATGATCATGCCACTACACTCTCCCTGGGGCAACAGAAGGAGACTTTGTCTTAAAAAAAAAAAAAGCATGGTGGCTGATGTCTATAATCCCAGCATTTTAGGAGGCCAAGATGAGAGGATTGTGTGATCAAATTATAAGTACTTTTTAAAAAAGTCTTTGAGTTAGGGCTATATCTTATAATCAATGGTACTGCCATAGTTTAACTGGATGGTTTTCCTTTTCCATCGATACATAAAATCAATGGCATCTTTGATTCAATGAAATATATCTTTTTTTTTTTTTTTTGGAGACAGAGTCTCACTTTGTTGTCCAGGCTAGAGTGAGTGCCGTGCGTCAGCCTAGCTCACAGCAACCTCAAACTCCTGGCTTGAGTGTCCTTCTGCCTCAGCCTCCCGAGTGCTGGACTACAGCATGTGCCACATGCCCGGCTAATTTTTTTATATATATATCAGTGGCCATTAATTTCTTTCTATTTATAGAGAGATGTCCATTTCTCAGGCTGGTTTTGAACTCCTGACCTTGAGCAATCCGCCCGCCTCGGCCTCCCAAGAGCTAGGATTACAGGCGTGAGCCACAGCGCCCGGCCAATGAAATATATCTTGATCGTGTCTTTTCACAGGTATACAACAAACTGATTTTTCACATCTAAATAGTGTTTCATTGCATGGGTAGCATCATTTATATAGGTATATGGATTTTAAGAGTTTCCAAGTATCAAAGATTTGGAGTAAAATAGGGCAAACACACTAGATAATTCAAAGAGCAATTTTACACAGTGATATTTTTTGTTTCAGCAGCTTACTCATTTTATGTCTCAGTTTATAGTCAGTAACCCGGAACCCAAAACTAAAATTAAAAAAATATATATAAAATAGAATTCTATGAACACAATGATTATAAAACAGATTACCAACAGCTTTTTCTTTTAAAAAATGTGATGTGGAGCCAGGCGTGGTGGCCCAGTACTCTGGAGGCTGAGGCAGGAAGATCGCTTGAGGTCAGGAGTTTGAGATCAGCCTGAGAAGGAATGAGACCCTATTTCTACTAAAAATAGAAAAAATTAGCCAGGCATGGTGGCGCATGCCTGTAGTCCCAGCTACTTGGGAGGCTGAGGCAGGAGGATAGATGGAGCCCAGGAGTTGGAGGTTGCTGAGAGCGAGGCTGACACCACGGCACTGTAGCCTGGGCGACAGAGCGATACGGTCTCAAGGGGAAAAGGTGGGCGGTGTCTGCAACCAGCGGGCGCAGCAGCGGGGCGAGTCCGGCAAAGGCGGAGGCCGGTGGGAAGCGGGGGGCGCGGCAGCCGCACCTGCGCCAGTGACCAGCGCCAGGACCAGTGCCAGGTCCCCGCCGGGCGGGCGGCAACGAGGGCCGGGCGGGGGCGGGTGGAGGCCCACGTTCTAGCGCAGGAGCTGAACAAGCCCATCTGGGAGTGCCTGAGCGGTACCAGAATCTGTCCCCGCTGGCTGTGGCGCCTATGGCTCGGTGTGTGCTGCTTTTGACACAAAAACTGGGTTATGTGTGGCAGTGAGGAAGCTATCCAGACCATTTCAGTCCGTCACTCATGCCAAAAGAACCTACAGAGAACTGCAGTTACTTAAACATATGAAACATAAAAATGTGATTGGTCTGTTGGACGTTTTTACACCTGCAAGGTCTCTGGAGGGATTCAGTGATGTGTATCTGGTGACCCATCTCATGGGGGGCAGATTTGAACAACATTGTGAAATGTCAGAAGCTTACAGATGACCACGGTCAGTTCCTTATCTACCAAATTCTCTGAGGTCTAAAGTATATACAGTCAGCTGACATCATTCACAGGGCCCTAACCCTAGTAATCTAGCTGTGAATGAAGACTGTGAGCTGAAGGTCCTGGACTTTGGACTGGCCCAACACGCAGATGAGGAAATGACAGCCTACATGGCCACTAGATGGTACAGGACTCCTGAGACCATGCCGAACTAGATGCATTACAACCAGACAGTTTATATTTGGTCAGTGGGCTACATAATGGCCGAGACTGGAAGAACATTGCTTCCTGGTACAGACCACATTAACCAGCTTCAGCAGGTCATGCGTCTGACGGGGACACCCCCTGCTTCTCTCATTAACAGGATGCCAAGCCATGAGGCAAGAAAGTGTATTCAGTCTTTGATCCAGATGCTGAAGATGAACTTTGCAAATGTATTTATTGGTGCCAATCCTTTGGCCGTTGACTTGCTGGAAATGCTTCTATTGGACTCAGATAAGAGAATTATAGCAGCCCAGGCCCTTGTACATGCATACTTTGCTCAGTACCATGACTCTGATGATGAGCCAGTGGCCAACCCTTCCGGTCAGTCCTTTGAAAGCGGGGACCTTCTCATAGATGAGTGGAAAAGCCTGACCTACAATGAAGTCATCAGCTTTGGGCTGCCACCCCTTGACCAAGAAGAGATGGAGTCCTGAACACCTGGTTTCTGTTCTGTTGATCCCACTTCACTGTGAGGAGATAGGATTTTCATAGGAACTCTCCAAATATCATTCAAGCACCTATTGTTGTGAAGATTTCCTCCATGGTGGAAGGGGTGTGTGTGTGTGTGTGTGTGTGTGTGTGTGTGTGTGTATACATGTATATATCTGTCTTTGTGGGAAGGTGAGAGAATAATATGAGCGAACTATGATCACAGTGACTTTACGTGGAATTGCAGATGCTCCCTGGCAGCTTCCACTTGTTCTGCATTCTGAGAGTCAGCTCAGGCAGACAAGAACTGCCATCTTGTTAGGAAAATGTTAAATGCAAAGTAAAAAAATATTAAACATCCCCATCGCAGTCATGCTTTTGCCACCTTGGCTTCTCCTGTGGCCCCACCTTGATGGTAGACTTGACTACATCCTGCAGTGGCAGGGGAGGAGGCTCCCACCTTCTGGTTGCTTCAGACCTGAAGCCGTCCTCAGTGATATGTACAGCCAAAACAGACCAACTGGCCTCTGTTAACTTGCTTGGTATGATTCTCAGAACTCGACAGGTGTATTTGAAATTGTAAATATGTTTGTGCCTTAAAAGGAGAGAAGAAAGTGTGGATAGTTGAAAGACTACTGCTGCTGAAGTTATGAGCTGGGCAAGTAGACAGGGCTGTTGGAGACCTGCTATGGGCTGGAAGTAGCCAGGCAGCCTTCAGAGGCAGCCATGTGTGCGCATGTGTATGTGTGCATCTCGCTCTTTCTCTTTCTGTCTCTCCCCTCACCTGCAAGTGTTGTTGCCATGTCTCTGCTTACCCCTCACTTTCAGCGCGGAAGTTTTATGAATATTGGCCCCAGTAGTGAGAACCAGGCTCTTGCTGTCAGTATACTTCCTGTGTGCTTTTTATTTCTAGCAGAGTGGGGATGTGTTCTGCACATCTTGCTATTTGAGCATGCACAGCTGCTTGCCCTGTTCTCTTCGGGAGGCTCTGGTGCCAGGCAAGTTTGCCCGTGGAGACTTCTTGGATAATTCAGATCCTTTGTCATGTCAGCTGATGTTATGGGCAAGTGACATCATCCTCTCTTCAATCCCCAGTGCTATTTTGTGTTGAACACAATTGATACTCCAGGTGCTTTTGATGTGAAAACCATGAAAAAATGGAACAGATGGATGTATAGCATTTTCATTCTTGCCATCTTTCAACAAACTATTTTGGGGGAGCTAACATGGGAGAGATCAGGGCTTTCCCCAAGAATATCCCAAACTTTGGAAAACAAGTTGTTCTCTTTTCTCCCACTAACCAATGCCAAGAAATACTGAAAATAAAAGTGAAAAATAAACATCATGAGGCCAGAAACTCCTTTTGCTATCTTTCTCTAAATGTGGCTTAAAAAAAAAAAAAATAGGGCCGGACGCGGTGGCTCACGCCTGTAATCCTAGCACTCTGGGAGGCTGAGGGAGGATCATTTGAGCTCAGGAGTTCAAGATCAGCCTTAGGAAGATCAAGACCCCGTCTTTAATAAAAATAGAAAGAAATTAGTCAGACAACTAAAAATATATAGAAAAAATTAGCCAAGCATGGTAGCATATGCCTATAGTCCCGGATACTTGGGAGGCTGACTCGGGAGGATCACTTGAGCCCAGGAGTTTGAGGTTGCTGTGAGCTAGGCTAACACCACGGCACTCTAGCCTGGGCAACAGAGTGAGACTCTGTTAAAAAAAAAAAAAAAAAAAGCTAGTGTGATTTCCTATAAGAAATACTGCTCGGAATATTTTTTAATAAAGGTCTTTACACACGTGACCACATACATGTTAGGAGGCTGAGTGCTCCCGGAGCCTGGACTCTAAGCTGGAGCTCTTGGAAGAGCTCTTTGGTTTCTAAGCATAATGCTCACATCTCCTGATTTCTCTGACAGAAAACAAAGGAGAGAATGAGGGAAACTGCTATTTTATTTGTATTGATGAACTTGGCTGTAATCAGGTATGCCATATAGGATGTCAGACAATACCACTGGTTAAAATAAAGCCTATTTTTCAAAATCAGTGAGTTTCTCAAATTTGCCATATTTTTCTCTTGATTATTTTTATTTAATGTGCAATATGGCATCATATCAATGTTCTTTCAATTGTGGCCTGGCATGCTTCTGACAGATCTTAATACTATTCTTAAAATTTAGAAACATTGATAATGCTCCTTGGCTGTACGTTTTATGGTGAAGAGAATCTGGGTCTGTGATGTGGGTAAAGCAAAGAGCAAATAAACAAGGCATCGTATGGCAGAGTCTGTGTCACCACATGAGGGTGTGAGAGTGGCCTAGGACAGGTGTCAGCAAACTGGCCTGAGGGCAAACTGGCCTGTTTTGTGTAGCCTGCTAAGAATAGTGTTTACATTTTTTAATGGTTGGGGGAAAAGTAAATAAAAGAAGAATAGTATTTTTGTAGCACATGAAAAGTAACGTAAAACTCAAATTTCAATGTTCATAAATAAAGTTTTATCAGAGCATTAAAAAAAGTGATGTGGAAGAAAAACAATTTTCTACATTTTATATACAAAGATATTTTCAGTTGATTAATAATTAATTCAAATTCTGAGAGACTTGATTTAAAAATGGAAAAAGAAAAAATAGTAATACCGAAAATAATAAAGTAAAAGAAAAATGTCACTAATGATTCTATAATCTGAAGCAAATCATTCTTAGCATTTAGTGTATTACTTTCCAAACTTTTGTTATATTTTCACATTTGATCATGAAAATTTTCAAGTTAAGCTAAATTGTAAGACTTTTATAACGAATACTCATATCGGCGTCAGCCTAGCTCACAGCAACCTCAAACTCCTGGGCTCAAGCGATCCTCCTGCCTCAGCCTCCCGAGTAGCTGGGACTACAGGCATGCGCCACCATGCCCGGCTAATTTTTTATATATATATCAGTTGGCCAATTAATTTCTTTCTATTTATAGTAGAGACGGGGTCTCGCCCTTGCTCAGGCTGGTTTTTGAACTCCTGACCTTGAGCAATCCGCCCGCCTCGGCCTCCCAAGAGCTAGGATTACAGGCGTGAGCCACAGCGCCCGGCCACCATTAACTTTTTATTATATGTGCTTTACCACTTATTTATTCATCCTTCCAAAAATTTGCAACAGAGTTGAAACCCTACTATATATAAAATTTTATGTCCATATAAGTAGGCTCAAACCACTATATTGGTCAATTAAACTAAAAACAATCAACCCATTTATAGTGTAAGCAAAGTCATTCAACAAATCACAGAAAGCAGTAGTGGGGTATTTTTGTGTGTTTTAAATTCAAATTTAGGTATAGAGAATAACTCAAGAAGTGAATTCAAGAGGTAGAAAGATTTTGGTAAGTTTTTTTTAGTATTTATTACAACTATTTTTCAGTATTTATATTAAATTGTAAAAGAAGATCTTCAAAAATAGAGAATAGTATTTGACCAGGCCCACAGGTAGACCTATAAACATGGCTTTACTTACTTTGTGATGACTGCCAAAATGATTCTCGATATTGACCAGATGATCGAGTAGTTTGATCTAAAAACAAAAACAAAAACCATATTATACATCACATTTAACTTTTAAATTTACATTGTATAAGAGAATAATGAGTATTTAATCAAAAGAGCAAAAATATTCAGATAAACCACAAAGAATTCAACACTTGGGTACATAATTTATTTAAAACACATGGTTTCTAAACAGTCCTATCATATCTAAAAAGTTAACTAATTTATTATGTCTTTTCCCTAGCCACTTTTTTGTTTTGTTTTTTTTTTGAGACAGAGTCTCACTTTGTTGCCCAGGCTAGAGTGAGTGCCGTGGCATCAGCCTAGCTCTCAGCAACCTCAGACTCCTGGGCTCAAGTAATCCTGCTGCCTCAGCCTCCCAAGTAGCTGAGACTACAGGCATGAGCCACCATGCCCGGCTAATTTTTTCTCTATATATTAGTTGGCCAATTAATTTCTTTCCATTTATAGTAGAGACGGAGTCTCGCTCTTGCTCAGGTTGGTTTCAAACTCCTGAACTCAAACGATCCGCCTGCCTTGGCCTCCCAGAGAGTTAGGATTACAGGCGTGAGCCACCGCGCCCGGCCCCTAGACGCTTTTTAAAGAAAAAAAACTGTAAGACATGGAACACGGCATGAGATAAGGAAATAATGAAATCTTTGAGTTTGGGGAAATTTTTGAAAAGCTTATAACGATGGATTTTCTTGAAATCATTAATATCCATTTTGCCTTAAATTTTTACTGCAAGTAGGCAATACATTATGTATTTTAGTCTGTTTTTCTTAAAATTTTTTTCTCCATAAAAAGTAGAATTTATAACTAGATTTGTTTACAAGTGATCAAATTGTTACTTTGGAAATAGAAGCATTTGAAGCATAAAGGTATAATAGCTAAATATTTTTGATAGTATATTTCTATCACTAAAATAATTTTGACCATCAATCTCTGAAACATTTTTTCTTTCTTACATTATATACATTGCACTATGGAAATAATACATTTATTAAGACCAGGCTGGCCAACAAAGCAAGATCCTGTCTCTATAAAAAAAAAAAAAAGAATTAGACAAATGTGGTGGCATGCACTTGTAGTCCTAGCTACTTGGGAGGCTAAGGTGGGAGGATTGCTTGAGTCCAGGGATTTGAGGCTACAGTGAGCTATGATCGTGCCACTGCACTCCAGCCTGGTGACAGAGTGAGATTCTGTCTCTACAGATAGAAATAAAATATAAATGTATATAAAATTCTATTATTTTTTTCCTGCATTCCAATGGATCTTCTTGTACCTCTTTGGTGATGACTGGTCCAGAAGATAACCTAGGAAGGCCAGTACTCTTAGTATGTCTCAACATTTTGTTCCTTAGCTAGAGCTTTCTTCTGCATGTGGGTATGCTTCAATAAGGTCACACAAGAACTTTTAAGAATTCTAAAGGGATCATAGGACCTAGAGTTATGGCAGCAAACTATTGGCTATATGAATGACTTAATTAGTCTCTAATTTTTAGAGCTTTATGTATACATATATGAACACTAATAACAACACAAGTGGTCTACTAAGTGCCAGGTACTTGCTAAGTGCTCTTTGCATATGTGAATTAACTTAATCCTCACAAAAACCCAGATGAGGAGAATGAGGAATACAGAAGTGTGAAGGAGGCCGGGCGCTGTGGCTCACGCCTGTAATCCTAGCTCTTGGGAGGCCGAGGCGGGCGGATTGCTCAAGGTCAGGAGTTCAAAACCAGCCTGAGCAAGAGCGAGACCCCGTCTCTACTATAAATAGAAAGAAATCAATTGGCCAACTGATATATATATATAAAAAATTAGCCGGGCATGGTGGCGCATTCCTGTAGTCCCAGCTACTCGGGAGGCTGAGGCAGAAGGATCACTCGAGCCCAGGAGTTTGAGGTTGCTGTGAGCTAGGCTGACGCCACGGCACTCACTCTAGCCTAGACAACAAAGCGAGACTCTGTCTCAAAAAAAAAAAAGAAGTGTGAAGGATTAAAATGCATGGATTCTGGCTCCAGAGCCCAGGTTCTTAACCATTATGCTAGACTGTTACATATCTCCTTTTAGGATTTCTATAACAAGAAAGAATGGGGGAAAATGAGGAGTGGGAAATATACAAAATACCAAATACCCATAAAGCAAGTTTATGGGCTTATCTTTCAAACAGAATGATGAAATATAATATAGGAATTATACAAATTTTCAGGAGGTGGTGAGGGGAAAGTGGAGAATTACTTTTCTACAGGACTAAAGTATAAAATTACTCATTATTTACAGAGTTTACAAATTAATTCAGTACTATCTTAAGCTTCAAATTGGTATTTTTCTCTCTTCAGTAAATTCTTTCATTGAATATATCTAAAGATAAATTCACATAAACAGTCAGAACTGTTAATTATTAACTTGGTGTGAATTTGAACAATCCAGAGATAAAAAATAGTTAACTTCCTAATAGCTAAGTGACACTTCTGATCATATGGTAAATTCAAGTGCCAATGTGATCAGTTTCTCTACGAAATTCAAGAATAACAAATAACTCTACTTTTTAAAAAAGTTATGTATCTTTCTTTTAATAGTATTAACATTATTGATTCCACGTGTCCATCTGATTAGTAATACAATATCATGTAATATCTAAACAAATAACTTTTAGCCTGTTTTTTAATGTATTTTTTTAGACTGCTTTCTTTTTTTTTTGAGACACAGTCTCACTCTGTTGCCTGGGCTAGAGTGTCGTGTGTCGTGGCATAAGCCTAACTCACAGCAACCTCAAACTCCTGGGCTCAAGCAATCCTCCTGCCTCAGTCTTCTGAGTAGCTGGGACTACAGGCATGCGCCACCATGCCTGGCTATAGCCTGCTTTCTTATTTATGGAAAATAAGATGTTTTTGTGTCCAAGAGTTATTTGTGGCTGGGCACAGTGACTCACTCCTATAATCCTAGCACTCTGGGACATCAAGGTGGGAGGATCACTTGAGGCCAGGAGTTTGAGACCAGCCTGAGCAAGAGAAAGACCCCATCTCTACAAAAAAATAGAAAAATTAGCTGGGCATGGTGGCACAAGCCTGTAGTCTCAGCTACTCAGAAGGCTGAGGCAGGAGGATCATTTGAGCCCAGGAGTTTGAGGTGGCAGACCTTGACTCAAAAATAAATAAATAAATAAATATTAATAAAAGAGTTATTTGTTTTCAATAAAAAATTTTTAAAGTACTTTTAAAAAAGTAAATTAACAGAATACCTTTATATTTTAACTAAAAAGATAGCTCCTATGGAAGAGTCTTATTTATATAAGCAAACTTACCTCCAGACTCATCGGAATCCCTGGATCTGACCTTAACAGTAGTGACATCACTGTCAGAGCTGTCTTGATCATCTTCTTCAGTTTCTCCTGAAGAGAAGTAAACAATATACTAGTATAGCCTTTGTTCTAATGCTCAAAAGATCTGAAGTAAAAAAAAATATTTAACATGAAATGAAGGGTTTTAAATTAAAAGATATAGAATTGCTATTTATTTATTATGCTTATTATTTTGAAACCCAAAGTTCTAAGTGAGCTAAAATTGAGTTCATTTATTTTGTGTTCTCTGAGGCATATAATTCTTTCCTAAACAAATATTCAGAATAAGGCCAGGCGCGGTGGCTCACGCCTGTAATCCTAGCTCTCTGGGAGGCCCAGGTGGGCGGATTGCTCGAGGTCAGGAGTTCGAAACCAGCCTGAGCAAGAGCGAGACCCCCATCTCTACTATAAATAGAAAGAAATTAATTGGCCAACTAATATATATATAGAAAGAATTAGCTGGGCATGGTGGCGCACGCCTGTAGTCCCAGCTACTCGGGAGGCTGAGGCAGGAGGATTGCTTGAGCCCAGGAGTTTGAGGTTGCTGTGAGCTAGACTGACGCCATGACACTCACTCTAGCCTGGGAAACAAAGCGAGACTCTGTCTCAAAAAAAAAACAACAACAAATATTCAGAATAATATCTAAAAGACTACATTCTGCGGCTTTAATATAGAGTCAAAAATCAAGAGATAAGCATTAAATAATCGAAAAATTTTAGTTTATGTGGCAAAAACCTATATAGAGTTAGTTTGCAGTAAAATTCAGACAAGATTAGTGTATATATTAATGTGGTCGTAGCTGTGTATCTGTGGTGGAAAGGTAGTGTACACAGACCCACACGCAAACATTTTATTATGCAGGCAACTAATCTCAGGCTAGGCTTACAGATGAACTAAATTTTACTCCTGTACTTTTCAAACATAGACTGGTTTTGAGAATTTGGAAAAGTGATTATTTTAATATCATAATCAAAGGCCAGCACATGCCAGAAACAGAACATATTAGCTATACTTAAAATTAACTCAAATTGACAAAAGATGCTTAAAATATACACATTCTATCTTATTTTACTCACCCACTTAACAGTTCGGATAAACATGATTTTTTTTCCTAAAGGAAAAAACCCACAATTTTCTGTTCTTACCTCTTACATACCTATCAAAATGGCTCCTAATGTAAAGAAAAAGATATAGAATATATTGCATTACAAAGAGAATACCTCCTTCAGAGCAATTGACCTTCTGTTGGACACTGGTGGCTTCTAGAAGAAAAAAGCATACATCAGCCTGTAATCCTAGCACTCTGGGAGGCCGAGGCAGGTGGATTGTTTCAGCTCAGGAGTTCAAGACCAGCCTGAACAAGAGCAAGACCTTGTCTCTACTAAAAAAGAAATTAGCCGGACAACTAAAAATATATAGAAAAAATTGGCCAGGCATGGTGGCACATGCCTGTATAGTCCCAGTGTTTGAGGTTGCTGTGATCTAGGCTGACGCCACAGCACTCTAGCTTGCGTAACAGAGTGAGATTCTGTCTCAAAAAAAAAAAAAAAAAAGCACACATCAAAAATTAAATATATGATATCAAAAGTTAAAGCTTAGGAATAAAGAGCATCTAATTTAGGAAAATGAACAGAAAGATACACTAAATAATCTTTTTTCTGTTTAACCACTAAGAATCTATCATTTCCTTTTAGGCTAGTTCAGAAATAAGTCTGACACAAACTAGAATCAGAAATAAAGTGTTTATTTTACCTTCAGTCATGGTCTATTTTTACTTTAAAATATAACCTGCATGTACAGAGTACATTAAATTCTACATTGACAAGTATTTCAGTCCATATAGGTTTACTATAATATACTTTCATTTTCCTATTTGCCAGATTCTCTACACTCCTGTGAAAAACCTACCACACCCACTGAACTGACAGACCAGTTCTTTTAGTGCACTGGTACATCCAAAGAGGAAGTATGAAAGGTAAAGAAACCCTTTTCCTAGTTAAGCAGATCCATGCATTAATACATCACTGTTTCTCAGAGCAACAGAGAATCTGAACAAAGATAAGTAAGCAAAACATATCAAATAAACTTTAAATGCAGTGTTTTTACATGCAGTATTTTTACATGAGCTATTCTGAAACTTTTAAAAATATAAAGTGAGATATACCCAAATGTGGGCATTGTATAATTGGGCTAAAATATTCTTGAATGATCCATGTACAGAAGTAGCATGATTCAGGCTTCTTTAACAAAGCTGAGAAAATGTTTCTTTTCAGCTTCCATGTGTGTTGATCTAACCTCTATTTGCTTTTTAAAATGGAAAACAGGATTGTGAAAAGCAAACATTATATGGCAAATTTGGAAATTTTTCAAATCCATATAATTAGATTAGTATAATACTTGTCAAATTTTGAGTTCCACTGAAAATACTTCTTGACAGTGGCAAGTGAAAATATCTGGAATACATTTGCCAACATTTTTACCAGAAAAAAAATCCTAACCCTGAGAAAACTGCTGATAACACCATGTTACTCTTAAAAAGCTAGAATCTGGTATATTATGTACTATTTTAATCTAAGCTCCTTAGAGAGACCAGACTGTCCTTTCATTTTCTCTTTTTTAAAAGAGAAAAATGAAAAGTCAAACTTCTCTTAGTAATGTTCCCTTAAAAATACTGTATTAATATTTCCATTCCTACAAAAAGGTATTATTCCCTTTTGGAAGTTTTCTTTTCTAAGTGCATAACTATTATAGTACTTTGTTACTTGTAAAGCAGTTTTATACTATTCATTTATACAACTATTTACATAGCATGTAACCAAAAGATGCTTTCTTAAGAATCAATGATTTTAGTTACTATCTTAATAATATAAGCCCTTAATATTGCATGATGCTATTTAGTCTTCCAAAAAACCTTCATGACTGTTATCTGATTCCCATATCATCATAAGGGAATACTTTGATAAGTAAGGTTCATAGATATTAAGTGACTTGTCTAAGGGTGTAGAACTAACATTAATAAAATGGACTTGAACACAGGCTCTTCCGACTTCTAGTCTACTGCCCTTCTGCCACCATGTCAGTCGTGTTCATGACAGCACATTGTAAGCGCTCAGTAATTTTTTGAATAAATGAAGAAAAGGCTGAGAGCTGAATCTTTCCTAATATCAGAGGTTCCAACAACTCCTTGGTGTAAGTTGTATCATACAGTAGGATTTACTAAAGTTACATTTATCTTAGGACATTATGTTTTACACAGTTACTCTTTAAAAATTATCTGGTATAGCAAAACTTCTTTAAGGCTGAATAGACTTTAGTATCTGTAATAATGAAAACAAAGGTATATTGAAAATTTACATTCCTTCATTGAGCTATCAGAAAAAATGAACAGTACAATAATCTCTCCTTTTTTCATTCTGATATATTTTATTTCCATATACATTTGAAGCTCCAGGTCAATTTGTCTAGAGTCAATTCACTCACTAATCAATCCTCCATATACCAGGTTGCCTAAAATTCAATTCCATCTCCTTTTTTCTACTTATCCATGTGTTGTCTAAGTTGCATGGGGGAAGGGTGTTTAAGAATTATTTTTAGCCAGTTTACATACGGGAGCTCCCCATTTATTAATTTATTTTACTTTAGAGATGGAGTCTCACTGTATTGCCCAGGCTGGTCTTGAACTACTGTGATCAAGCAATTGTCTGGTCTCAGTCTCCTGAGTAGCTGGGAATACAGGCACATGCCACCGCACCTGGCTCCATTTATTTTTAATACTTCTAATATGTTATTATATTGGAAGTATCTAATAAATCATGGATTTTATCTATTTTTTTTCTTTCTATACCAACCAGGAGGAAGCATTGAGGATTTTATCTACTTTTTTTTTGTTGTTGAGTCGAGTCTTCGACTTCAGTTGCCCTAGTGCGTAGGTGTGATGTGCTCTTGCCATGCCGTCAGCGCTAGCTCATAGCAAACGTCAATCTCCTGGCCTACGATCGCTCCTGCCTAGCCTCCGAGTAGCTGGACTACAGGCATGCGGTCACCATGCCCGGTTAATTTTTAAGTATATATATTTTAAGTTGATCCAATTAGTTTCTTTCGGTGTTTGTTAAGTAGAGATGGGTTCTCGTCAGGTGGTTTCAAACTCCGACGTGGAGAGATCCACCTCGCTCGTGGCTCCCAGAGGCTGGATCAGTGATCCCCTCCCGCTGTCAATGCGCGATTACCTGCCAAGCATGCTGCATTTCCTCTTTTTTTTTTTTTTTGAGACAGAGTCTCGACTTTGTTGCAGGCTCAGAGTGATGCCCTGGCGTACTAGTACAGAACCGTCAACTCCTGGTCGGTGATCCTTCTGCCTCAGCCTCCGCGGGTAGCTGGGACTACAGGCATGCGCCACCGGATGCGCCGGCTAATTTTTTAGTTGTATATTATTGTGGCAATTTTTTCTATTTATAGTGAGACGGGGTTCTCGCTCTTGTCAGGCTTGGTTTTGAACTCCTGACCTTGAGATCCGCCGCTCCGCCTCCAAGAGCTAGGATTACAGGCGTGAAGCCACAGCCCGGGCCCCATTTCCTCTTTTTATTACGCAGTTTCCTTGGGTTTAACTGGCTGCTTATGTATAGAAGGTTACGATTAAAAATATTTTAAATAAAAGTATTACTTTAGGATACAAGTATGCTCATGCACAATCTTTGACAATTAAATCCTATTTTGAGCAAAAATATCCTATTTTAAAAAGTTATTTAAGAAATGATAAAGGCTATGGTTTTAAGATATGAGATAAATTAATTAATTAAATCATGCTGTTAGAAGGTGTTACTTTTCCAACAATCATCACTGATTAATACCACTTTCGTATGAGTGTGGACTATAGGCAAAGCCACAGATGAATGCCACAGCAACTTTAGCTGACGGCCGTGAAATGACTTTTCTATTTTTCATTTATCAAAATAAAATTGTAAACATTTAAAAATCACGTAATGAAAACATATATGTATAGTAGTATCTATTCTGATTTACAAGTAAAGCTGCCTATAGAGTAAAACAAGCTTTCAGTGCTTCAAGCTTTCGTCATCCACACAGGCAAAATGGATCCGTAGTCAATGCACAGCACAACCTATCCTGCGGACTGTGAGTGCCGGTTGTGGGCAAGGTTTTGCAGCTGGTGAGCGCCGTACCGAAGTGGTTAAGAAAAGCTACTTTTAAGCACTCTGGGAGGCAGAGGATCGTTTGAGCTCAGGAGTTTGAGACCAGCCTGAGCAAGAGTGAGGCCCTGTCTCTACTAAAAAAAAAAAAGAAGAAAAAAGAAAGAAATTAGTTGGACAACTAAAAATGTATATACAAAAATTAGCCAGGCATGGTGGCACAAGCCTGTAGTTCAGCTACTTGGAGGCGAGGATGAGGCAGGAAGATTGCTTGAGCCCGGAGTTGGAGGTGCTGTGAGTGAGGCTGATGCCACAGCAGTACTCTAAGCAGGGGAAAAATGAGGGACTCTATTCAAAAAAAAAAAAAAAAAAAAAAGAAAGAAAGAAAAGCTACATTCAGAAGTCCAAGGTGTTTATGTTTGAAGAATAGATCACTTACAATCATCTCCTCTAATAGAGACCAACCACTAATTATGCCACTTTTTGTTGGCTTTCTTTCATTTAACTACGATTTTTAAGGAAAATACAAAGTCCTAGGTATAACTCAGCCTGTTAAGACTCATAAAATTCCCTAGATATTTTGAAAGCCCAGGTGCCAAAGCACCTAGATTTATACTATACACCTTGTTATTCATAGAGACTTATTGGATGTGCTTGGTGTGATGAATAAAGGCTACTGAAGAAAATATAAACTTGGCTTATGTTGTGTTTTGTCTGGGGACAAAGATATGAAAATATCACAAATGAGACTGCTGTGCTTTCCCAAAGGAAGATAGTCAGAATACAGGAGTCATTGTCTCCTTTCTTCTTGGGCTGTCAGTACAACCTAGTATATGTTCAGGCAAGTATGTAACTCCTGAATTTACTTTTAGAACAAACAAATGACAATTTGAGTGATTTGCTGTCTTTATTCCAGCCATCAGTATAAATCAAGGGTCGGCAACACTTTTTCCATAAAAGACCAAACAGTAAACATTTTAGGCTTTGTGAGCCACATAAGGTCTCTGTCAGGTTTTTCCCCCCAAAAATATAAAAATCCTTTCTTAGTTCATAGGCTGTACAAAAACAGATTATGAGTCAGATTTTTTACCCGGAGGATGTAGCTTACTGATATAGATACCTTTAAGACTGTTCAATGACAACCATGCTTTTGAGAGCAGTCAGAGCGGGGCAGCAGGAAGGCCGCAAGAAGGAGAGAGCAAAGAACAATTTGTAGATAATCACTAGTATTCCAGCTTCATGAATGGCCATTTACTCCAAGGTGTACTAACATTACTACAAAAGGAATCAGAAAGTGCTATTCTCTGTATTAAACCTACAGAAAATTACTTTAAAATGGCAAATGGTTTCTAAAAGTTTAGTTTTTCTTATGAAGTTGTTATAAAGCCACAGATACTAGTAGTATTCACATCCTACAACAAGGCAAACACTTGAATTAAAACCAGTTCAACAAACATGGCAAGGGATGCTGAATTTATGAAAAACATCTCAAATTCACTTTCTAAATCAAGAGAAAAACCTTAACTGGTAAGTTGATATCTCCTTTTTCCTCAACAGTATGAATTAAACTAAGACTAATAAAAACTTAATAGATTTGTTAGTACAGTTCTTATATTAATTGAAACAATAATATAAGAGATAATTTCAGGCAGAAATAAAAACCAAGGCTTTTCAAGCTAGGCCATGGTGATAGGGACAGCGTCCCACAAGCTGAGATAATAAAGTAATATTCTCAAGCCAGCAACCAAATGTGTACTCCTTTATTCTAATGATAATCAGAACCCTCAAAGGTAACCTGTAAGAATTAGGGATAAACGAACCTAATTCACTCATTTCAGTATTTCCATTTGTTTTGTATGCCGAATCTGCAAGAGAGAGAACAAGAGAATGATTAGACCTGAAAAGGAAATGCATCATACGGTTCTTTACCATAGGTTCATCATTAGAACCTTAACAGATCTTTATCATTATACTACTTAAAAGGACTATCAACTATCTATCAAAATAAATTAACATAATTCTTCCTTAAAGAGAATGACCATGGAGCAATAGCAACATAATATAAAGATTAGTAAGTTTCATTTTTAGTTTCAATGATAAAGCATCCTTAGGAGCCAATAAACATTGAAAATGAAGTAGAAATAAACTGCTTGGAATGACCTTACTAGCTTTCTTTCATAGTCATGAAATCAATTAAAGGGCAATACTTTTAATTTAAGGTTTTAGTCAAAAAGAAAGGCAGGGACATTTTATAGCCCTATGCCACAAAGCCTCAGTCTTAAATTTTTTATTAGCAGTATACTGGGAGGAACAAAAAGTCCCTGACCTTGGTTTAAAATCACCAAGCTAACAAAAAGAACCAGAGCAACATACAAGAAACAATCTCTTGGCTGGGTGTGGTGGCTCACACCTGTAATCCCAGCACTCTGGGAGGCCGAGGAGGGCAGATCCTTTGAGCTCAGGAGTTCGAGACTAGCCTGAGCAAGAGCAAGAGTGAGACCCCGTCTCTACCAAAAATAGAAAGAAATTAGCTGGACAACTTAAAATATATAGAAAAAATTAGCTAGTCACGGTGGCGCATGCCTGTGGTCCCAGCTACTCAGGAGGCTGAGGCAGGAGGATTGCTTGAGCCCAGGAGTTTGAGGTTGCCATGAGCTACGCTGATGCCACGGCACTCTAGCCCAAACAACAAACAGAGTGAGACTCTGTCTCAAAAAAAAAAGAAACAATCTCTTAAAAAAATTAGGAAGTCTTTTATGTACTGATATGAAACGATCTCTCAATATATGTTAAGTAAAAATAGATAAGAAAGTGCAGAAAACAGGATTTATCAGGCCAAAATTTGTATTAAAAAGGGGAGAAAAGGGCCAGGCCCAGTGGCCCTTTTATGGAAAAATTATGGCCCTAATAATGGAAAAATTAACCAGTGTCATGGCGTTTGCCTGTAGTCCCAGCTACTTGGGAGGCTGAGACAGGCGGATCACTTGAGTCCAGGAGTTACGAGGTTGCAGAGAGTTATGATTGACACCACTGCACTCTACCTGGGGCAATGGAATGAGACTTTGTCTCAAAAACAAAAAGAAAAAAAAGAGGAAAAGATAATTTATACATGACTGTCCTTAAATTTCCAAAAAATATCTCTGAAAAAGACTTCAGAAACTGACAATATAGGTTGCTTCTCATGAGGAGAATGGGTGGTTAAAGGGGACAGAAAGACTTTTCAGTGTGTATCTACAGTAACTTGAGTTTTGAACAATATGAATAATGTATTTCACTTTTAAAATAATAATTTTAAAAGTAAAATTGTATTTATAAAAACGTTAAGCTAACAGACAAAACAATCTCTTACCAGATCCTGGGCTTCTCAGAGGGGGTCTACATAGGCTGATTACAAGATCATCTCTCACCACTAATACAGGAAGGAAAAATATTTTTAAAAATATAAAATGTGAAACATACTAGCTTTATTATGTAATCATCTTCTTATTTATTCAACATAGGTTTACGGAGCTTTTCATTATGCTGGAGAACTAGAGACAAGTTTCTCTAAGTGAGACCACCTGTGAACTAGTGACAATAGCGAATTAGAGGCATGTTTCCTGCCATACAACATTTATGGTTTTGATGAAGAAATTCTCAATTTTTCTCAGCAGACCATATTTGTACACAGGGAAAGAAATACTAAATAAACCTCTTCGAAATAGCTCCATCAAGAACCAAAATCTGTACTATAGCACCAATTCAATTATCTGTTCCATCTGTGATTTACCCTCATCGTGTATTATTTATGGCATATTTTACGGTTAACTTCCTGAGAGTTAGTTAATACATTCATTCCAACTATTTAACCTTGTGTGTGTTGAGGAAACACAAACTCTTAATTTTTTTTTTTTTTTGAGACAGTCTCACTTTGTTGCCCAGGCTAGAGTGAGTGGCATGGTGTCAGCCTAGCTCACAGCAACCTCAGATTCCTGGGCTCGAGCAATCCTTCTGCCTCAGCCTCCAGAGTAGCAGGGAATACAGGCATGTGCCACCATGCCCAGCTAATTTTTTCTATATATATTAGTTGACCAATTAATTTCTTTCTATTTATAGTAGAGACGGGGTCTCACTCTTGCTCAGGCTGGTTTCAAACTCTTGACCTCAAGCGATCCGCCCGACTCGGCCTCCCAGAGTGCTAGGAAAACAGGTGTGAGCCACCACGCCTGGCCGCAAAGTCTTAATTTTAACTAAAATTGTTCATTTCAGACAGTCTATGGTTCAATGGCATAGGGTTAGTGGAAAAGACCATTCTATTAAAGAAAATGTTAATTTTATCTTAGAAAACCAATTATAGGCTGGGCGCAGTGGCTCACGCCTATAATCCTAGCACACTGGGAGGCCGAGGCGGGCGGATCGCTCGAGGTCAAGAGTTCGAAACCAGCCTGAGAAAGAGCAGAGACCCTGTCTCTACTAAAAATAGAAAGAAATTAATTAGTCAACTACAAATACATAGAAAAAATTAGCTGGGCATGGTGGCGCATGCCTGTAGTCCCAGCTACTCGGGGGGCTGAAGCAGGAGGATTGCTTGAGACCAGGAATTTGAGGTTGCTGTGAGCTATGATGATGCCATGGCACTCTAGCAGGAGTAACAGAATGAGACTCTGCCTCAAAATAAAAAAAAAAAAAAAAGAAAAAAAGAAAACGAATTATAAAGGTATCTTTTATTCAAAGAGCCTTACACAATATATTCTAAAACCCAATATGTATCTAAATTTGGATATTATGTTTTGTTTCATTCATCTCTATAAAAAAACCTTTATGTTTTGGCTCTGTATGAATTGCAAAAACCACATTCTGAAACTTTAATAATTTCCCTAACTCTTCCATCTCTAAGATTCTATGTAATATCGGTCCAGGAGCGGTGGCTCACGTCTGTAATCCTAGTACTCTGGTAGGCCAAGACGGGCAGATCGTTTGAGCTCAGGAGTTTGAGACCAGCCTGAGCAAGAGGGAGACCCTGTCTCTACTGAAAATAGAAAGAAATTAGCTGGGCCGGGCGTGGTTGCTCACACCTGTCTTCCTAGTACTCTGGAAGGCCGAGGCGGGCAGATTGCTAGAGTCAGGAGTTCGAAACCAGCCTGAGCAAAAGCGAGACCCTGTCTCTACTATAAATAGAAAGAAATTAATTAGCCAACTAATATATATAGAAAAAATTAGCCAGGCATGGTGGTGTATGCATGTAGTCCCAGCTATTCAGGAGGCTGAGGCAGAAGGATCACTTGAGCCCAGGAGTCTGAGGTTGCTGTGATCTAGGATGACACCACGGTACTCACTCTATCTAGCCTGGGCAACAAAGTGAGACTCTGTCTCAAAAAAAAAAAAAAAAAAAGAAATTAACTGGACAACTAAAAAATACATATAGAAAAAATTAGCCGGGCACGGTGGCTCATGTCTGTATTCCCAGCTACTCAGGAAGCTGAGGCTGGAGGATGGCTTGAGCCCCGGAGTTTGAGGTTGCTGTGAGCTAGGCTGATGCCATGGCACTCTAGCCAGGGCAACAGAGTGAGACTCTGTCTCAAAAAAAAAAAAAAAAAAAAAAGAAATTCTCTGTAATATCTATCTCAGTTGTTAGTATTTCACATATCAGGTATTTAGAACTTATATAGATTTAAAAATAAATTTTGTACATGTGATAATAAAGGCAAATTTTAGTTTCTGTTATTCCCAGTATTATAACTACCTTCCTCTTTTTCTCCTCTGTACTTCCATTCTTTTCAGGTTTAATTAAAACCTAAAGCTAAAAATCTGGTTTATGTTTGTTTGCTTTTATTGAACTATGTATTAAAAAACTTAATCTATAGACATGAATTACTAGTTCCCCATCTTTTCCTTTAAGAAGCATTTCCTGGCCAGGCATGGTGGCTCGTGTCTGTAATCCTAGCACTCTGGGAAGCCAAGGCAGGAAGATTGCTTGAGCTTAGAAGTTTGAGACCAGCCTGAGCAAGAGTGAGACCACATCTCTATTAAAAATAGAAAAAATTAGCTGGGTGTGGTGGCACATGCCTGTAGTCCTAGCTTCTCAGGAGGCTGAGGCAGGAGGATCACTTGAGCCCTGGAGTTTGAGGTTGCTGTGAGCTAGGCTGAGGCCACGGCACTCTAGCCCCAGCAACAGAATTTCCTGTAAGCTCTACTGTACACACAGACCTACATAAGGTACTTAAAAGACAAGTTCTTGGCCGGGCGAGGTGGCTCATACCTGTAATCCTAGCACTCTGGGAGGCCGAGGCGGATGGATTGCTCGAGGTCAGGAGTTCAAAACCAGCCTGAGCAAGAGCAAGACCCGTCTCTACAATAAATAGAAAGAAATTAATTGGCCAACTAATATATATACAAAAAATTAGCCGGGCATGGTGGCACATGCCTGTAGTCCCAGCTACTTGGGAGGCTGAGGCAGCAGGATCTCTTGAGCCCAGGAGAGTTTGACGTTGCTGTGAGCTAGGCTGATGCCACGGCACTCACTCTAGCCTGGGCAACAAAGCGAGACTCTGTCTCAAAAAAAAAAAAAAAAAGACAAGTTCTTGCTTTGCTGGCCAGGCTGGTGTGCAGAGGCATGATGATAGCCCACTAAAATCTTGAACTCCTGGGCTCAAGCAATCCTCCTGCCTTGGCCTCTCAAGGTGTTGTAATTATAGGCACGAGCCACTGTGCTTAGCATCCAGTACCCTTCTTCAGTTGGTATCTCCCTCACTTTTCTGCTTTTGCTCACCACTGCACCCTCAGCACCAAGCACAGAGAGTGGTGCAAGGTGCTCAATAAATATCTGGAGGCCGGGCGAGGTGGCTCACACCTGTAATCCTAGCTCTCTGGGAGGCTGAGGCGGGTGGATCGCTCAAGGTCAGGAGTTCAAAACCAGCCTGAGCAAGAGCGAGACGCTGTCTCTACTAATAATAGAGAGAAATTAATTGCCAACTAAGTAAAATATATAGAAAAAGTTAGCCGGGCATGGTGGCGCATGCTGTAAGTCCCAGGCTACTTGGGAGGCTGAGGCAGCAGGATTGCTTGAGCCCAGGAGTCTGAGGTTGCTGTGAGCTAGGCTGAATGCCACCGGCAAACTCACTCTATTGGCGCACATGGCAAGCAAGAGCCAGACTCTGTCTCAAAAAAAAATAAAAATAAAAATAAATAAATATCTGGAGAATGAATGAATGCTATAACTACCGCAGCTAAAGAATCAAATATTCATGACAAAATAGTAGGCATTTAAAAATATTTATCTATGATTACTTAGCTAGAAACCACAACTGGTAGAACAAAAATACCTACTTAACTTTAGGAAATTAAATGAAATGGGTAATAATATATTTTTTAGACTATAAAATTAGTTTCACGATTTCCAGAAGGAATGAATCTGGCCATAGAGGAATAACATTTATGTACGTATATATGAATTGAATTATTAAATAACCTAATGGCTATTTAAATGTGAAGACAATTCAATTCTGGAATTTCAAATGATGAGAAGATTTCAAACCATATCCCTATTCTAAAACGAATATAATTAACATGTTTCAAGTCTTCCAAAAACAGGATGACATATCATGATGACAAATCATGTTTTTACTAGGTTGTTTTAGAAGACAGTTGCTTGGTTTAGGTCTTTATTCTTAAGTACATCTTTGCATAAATTTCTCTCAAACCACACCAGTGGCCCTATATATAATTACAGCACCAGCCAGGTATTGTGCCTCACACCTATAACTCTAGCACTTTGGGAAGCTGAGGCAGGAGGACTGACTGCTTGAGGCCAGAAGTTCAAGACCAGCCTTAGCAACATAATGAGACCCCGTCTCTACTACAAAAAAAAAATAGAAAAATTAGCTGGGTATGGTGGCATGTGCCTATAGTCCCAGCTACTCAGAAGCTGAGGCAGGAGGATATGCTTGAGCCTGGTAGTTTGAAATTGCAGTGAACTATGATGACATCACTGCATTCTAGCCTGGGCAACAGAGTGAGACGCTGTCTCAAAAAAAAAAAAAAATTACAGCACTATTTTGAATACCAGAGTGAAACTAAAAGCCTGTCTATGAGGAGGAAGGGCCTACCCTTAAACTTATACTTAAAGCAGTACTCTAATACAGATGGACTTCTACTTAAATGATTCCCCTTAGACAGACTTTACAAACATTTATTTAATAATTCCAAACTCTTTCTCCTTTCATTAAGAGGCATGGGAATACACCAACTATTAGATGTCATATGATTTTTTTTTTAATTTTTTTTTTATTTTGGCATATTATGGGGGTACAGATTTTAAGGTTTCAATAAATGCCCATTTCCCCCCTGTCATATGATTTTTTAAAAGCACCTTTTAGAGAAAGAGGGCCCTGAGTATCTCAAAGCTCCCAAAGATGGATATACTCTTATTTC